AGGGTTCTGTATCCGAATAAACTATGACTATTTTAATAACCACATGTTTTCTGTCAGAGCAAATGGAAAACAAAAATCTTCTGGCCGATGACTTAGATTTGCCCACATGACCTAAAAGTGCCTATATGTTGTTATAAACAGCACTTCTGAAATAATTACACTAAAATCACAAGAACTCATTTTGAAGGTATGCTTCAGTTTGCAAATGGGAAAATGGTGTTTTTTCAATGATATGCTCACACTGATAAAGTGATAAATTGTAAAATGTCTTTAGTTCATATTGATGTGTACTTTTGTTCCACCTACAGATTATTAACCCACTAATTATTCATTACCTATTATTAAATAAATACTTGATGAATGGAATGTTTCTTTATCTATGTCATTCTAAATGCAGATACACAAATAAATCATGACAAAGAATAAAATTTCCTTATCTATTAATGTAATTCATTTTGTTGACTTAGGATAACTTTTTAGCTTATTTAAGATTTTATTTATTTATTATGTTTATTTGAAAGAGGTGAGGGTGAGAGAGAAAGAGAGTGATAAAGATACTCTACTAAGTCCACATTTCAAATGCAGCGCCAAGCCTGTGCCAGGTCAAAGTTTGTAATCAAGAAACAATCCAGGTATCTCCCAATCATGGTCTGGACCAAGCTATTTCAGCCATCACTGCTGCCTCCCAGGGAATTCATTAGTATGAAGCTGGAATCAAGAGTGGAGCAGACACTCTCACCCAGTTACTCAGATGTAGGATGTGGGTATTCTAAGCACGTCCACCTCAGGATGCTTTTTAAAGTTGAGTCAACTTGGAGGTCCCAAAGAGATGAAGTATTGCCCCCAATTCTCTATAGACAACACTTATTTATCACGATGGACAATGAGTAATAGAAAGTATTTACAAGATCAAATGAAGATGGCTACTACAATGTGGTAATGTACCCAAATCTAGGGTCTCACTGGGACACTCCTCAGGCATTTGAGCAGATCCAAAAGTGTTTCCTGAGGAAAATTCATGGTTCGTCTCTGTCTATTCCTAAACCTGCAGTCAATTTAAGTACAGAGATGGGAGTGCCCTCAATCTAGGCAAGAACACGACTCAGTCCAGAACTGATTGATCCTCATCTCTTAGCAACAGCCGGGATATAACAACTGTTATTTAAAGGAGATAGTTTAAAGGACTTGTTAGCCTTTTCTTAGATCTCTGCCTGTATCCTTTCACCAATAAATCTACAGACCTGGCAAACATTACTTTAGCTACTTATAGAAATGTCTTCTCACAGTTATCATTCAATATTCGTTCTCTTGTCTGGTCTCTACTAAAAATAGCAATGTACAGAATTGCTCTCAAACTTTTTTGCAATATTTCTGTTGAAGACAACTTAAGGGTTCATCAAATAAATTACTCTCTCAGAAATCAGAGCCCTCAAAACAACTGTGATTTCTAATATAGGGGTGAGTTTCTTTTTTATCAGAATATGTAACCATTAACCACATTATGACTGTCAAATAACTCAAAATCATTCTCAGCTAAACTTTAGCATAGAAATAATTTTTTTATTTTAGACACACACACATATATATAAATTATTCATGGCATAGAATACACTACATTTAGCATATTTTATATACATATATATGTATACAGTATACATATTTATATGTGTATATATGATTTCTATATAGCAAATATTTTATGATACCTGTATAATGTATAAAACATGAATATTTTAAATAGTTTTTCATCCTTCAGAAAGCAGTTGCAGTTCTAATAAATTCTGTACAAACCACTGACTTTAACATAATTTACTATTGATACAACAGTAGCAGTTCAATATCACCTGCCATTTTATGCAGAATATTCTTGGGACTCTTTCTAAATGATTAAAATCTACTTTAAATAATAATATACATTTCCTAAACACAGTACGTTAATATTAGTTCTTATTTAAGCAATAAAATGACCCACGAAGTGTTAATTATAATCCCCACTTCACAGATAAAGAAATTAAGGCATATAGAATTGATTAACTTGAGAAGATCACATACCTAAAAATGATATAAAACAAATTTAAGACCTCCAAGCATTCTATTAGCTATAAAGGTAGATGGCCTCTACTTAGAAAGGTATCAAGAAATCACAGGTATCAGAAGCCCCACATATCTACATATGGAACAGGGTTTGTAAGATTAAAATTTAAAACAGAGATCCATAGATCAGTTCAAGCCTACATTGATATGTTAATTTAATTGTAAAAGTAAAAAAAAAAAAAAAAAAAAAAAAACAACAGTAGTGTAAGACAATGAAGTTCACCTCCATTCCCAAATGCCTTACTGTTCCCTTCAAATTACCACTCTATTTTATCATCACACTGAGTTTTCTACTGGAAATGACCAACCTTACCTGTTGTCCAGTAAGATCAGTTTAGTATGGCTACAAGTGAGGTCCAAAGATCAAAACCATGAATTATATCATTATTTAACAATTCATCAGAAAGTTTCCCACATTCATATCATATAAATGTGAAAACTATGCCATTCCTAAAAATTACTACACTGTAAAGAGGTGTCCTGGTCATCGAGCTAGCAAAAACAAAGCAGGTAAACTTTTGGAGCAGAGCTATCATTTGTCTGTAAAATAATTTCAACAGGTGGTTGACTGTGAAAGACTGGAAAGAGAGACATCTGGGAAATTATATGTAGTTATACTTCAACCAGTAGGGCATTTCTATGTGTAACGTGTGCTGGAAATCTGTATCCATCACAAACAATTCCTGGTAGCTATTACCAAGAAATCCTTGATGTAAGTGTTCATAAGTCCCCTTATCCATCACCTACCCTATAAGGTCATGCCATGAGTGAATTAAAAATTCATGATCTAATAAAATTTGAATCTTGTATAACAATCCTTATATGTCATTTATGATATCTTTATTTTTAATATTTATTCAGCATCTAAAATAACACTTAGAATAGCAGGTATTTAAAATATAATTTGCTGAATAAATGAAGCCACTCCTATTAAAACCAGAGAAGATTATCAAGTTATGGAAGTACTTCATTACATAGAGCAGCACAATAAAGTTTTGGTGATGAGTGAAGGCTTTGCAGTTGTACTATCTGGATTTGCATCTTCCCCTGTCACTTAGACCTGTAAAAATTAACCAACTTCCTATGTTTCATTTTGTCCATTTGTCCAATGGGTATGAAAAGTAAGACTGTTGTGAAGCCACAGTGGAATAACACATGTAAAATATTAAAGGCTGGCACATAATTAGTTAAATGTGTACCAACTGTTAGTTCTATCTATCTCTATTAATATCCCCACATGTACACAGAAAGAGCTTGGATCATATGTTGTGGGTCAATTTCAGAAGCAGTGCATCAAAAGATGAAAACATTCCTATCTAACTACAAACTTCTTCGAAATCCAATGGAGAAAATAAAGATACACATGGTGGCATTTCAAACCATAAATATAAGGGCCCCTTTCAATCATATAGTCTCTAAAATGATTAATACAATGCATAAGGGAACATCTTCCTTTCCTTTGTATTCACACAGAAGTTTAAAGAACTGACTGTTCATGGAACAAATGATACACACATCTGATCAAGTCAGTGTGACTTTTGTGGCTTCTTACAAAGGGGTAAAATTTCACCTTCTCAAAGAAGAAGCTGAAAAAGGAAGACAGTTAGTAAAATCCCAAGTCTGACTCACTGCTACCCTACTCAGCTGTGAACCTAAGGAGTCTAGATAGAGGGAGAGATGCTCATTTTCCTCCCTAAAGCATCACTGTCCAACAGAAATACAATGGGGGCCACAAGTGAGAGACTCATGAGTGACTTCCAATTTTCAAGTGGCCACACCAAAAAGGTAAAGAGTTGAAAATAAGTTTAATAATGCATTTTATTTAAGCCAACATGCCTAAATACCAATTCAACAAAGTACTATTTTAAAAAGTAGTATTATGCATTCATTCTTTCAATCTCAGTCTGTGTACTTTTTATTTACATTTTGGCCCAGACAAGCCACATTTCAAGTGTTCGATAGTGACCCGTGAGCAGCAGCTACCATACTGGAAGCTCACATATAGAGGGATTCTGAGGGCATTTCTTTTACTAAATCGCTTCTTCCTCAAGAGCTAAGAAGCAATCAATACATATCGTGCAATTCATACAAGCTGGAGAAATCAATAAGCTAACACATTCTAATGGTTCAATTTCCCCAATATTAAAAGAGGCAAAGTATATTTCAGCTAAAGAAAATATAATAGGCCAACTTACTACTTAAAATTTATAAATTATAAAAAAATACTTTTTTGCCCACCGTGGGCTAAGAAATTATCTATAATATTTCTTACCAACTACTCTACAATTTCAAAGCTTCTATAAATTATTTGCCAATATTATTCTTTTGAGCTTTTAGGCATTTCTCCTTCACCATTAGGTGAGTGAAATGGGTCAGGTAATTTGATTTGCCCTCTAATTTACTATTGATAGTATGAGTTTCCTTTGCTGTGATAGAACAGTACTGCTCTGATTAATACTATAAATTCAGAACAAATGGAAACACATTAAATTCAGAAGTGCTTCTGGACCATTAACTTCCATGCTGATCTGACGTGCAACATAGTATGTAGGCAACAGATTCAGGAATACAGACTATTCCTAAAGCAAACACTATTTTATCTCATAACCATCTGGGGTTCTCATCCCAAGGGCCACTTGCTATCTTTTAATATCCCGAGATACAGCACTAAGACCTACCTTATTAGCAAAACTCATTCCTGCTAGAATAAGAAGACTGACATAGGAGAGAGATTATGGAGGGAACAAAATTTTGGCTAAGACCCTTGTTTTCATTATTCAGCTAAAGAAAATCGTTGCTAACACACGCTTTCAAAATTCTATGGTTTTTGCTAAGGTACCAATAAAAGTGATACCATTCATAACATGGACAGTGGACTCTTTCATATATCGCCTATAGTTGCAAACTTAAGTGCCAAGCAGATGGTTGAAATCTGTTTTGTATAAAATGTGTGCTTTTTTTCCAACTGTGTTCTTTGTATTCATATTCAGCCTAGGTTTCAGCCATCAAAACACTGGCACTATGTCGATCATTAGCAGCATTTTAGACAACTGGCAACTAAGGTATTCACTGTTCTCCACAAAATGTTCAGCTAATATTTCCCAGATGTATAATTAAGGCAAAAGATCATCTTCTTAAATTGGTATCAGCACTTTGGACGGCTTCTGGCTTTCAGCAGATTATATCAGTGGAAAACAATTTTATATCAAAAGTAAGCGTTCTGTTTCTTGGGTGATTTTGTTTGCTTGTTATACAGCTGCCCATAAAAAGAAAGCTATATATTTCCCCAACCATCCTCTACAGTCTACAGAATATGTAGCTAAGGCGAAACTGCTCACGCCACTTTTACTGTGAAAACCTATAGTGTACTATGGATCCTGATTTCTTTAAGTTGTTTAATACTTTCTCATTTTCCAATCATTTGCATAAATAATACTTTCAAAAGTACTAGCATGTGTGAACTTTTTACATGAACAGAAATCACTGTTTTTATTGTTCAATAATTCCTTCTATAAAATGATTCATTCTCCTTACTTTGCCCAAATAAATAAAATTTACATAAAGGAACATATTAAAACAAAGATAATATCAGCAAATTCATTATTCAAATCCTTGATATATTGATAATTACAAAAATAGTTATTAAGGTTTCAGACATCCAACACATGAAATGACAAAAAAGGATGTTTTTTTAGGGTACTTAATGAGCACTCAGAAGAAACTACAGTTGTATTGCTACTATTTAAGTGCTAGTTACCTAGAATCAAAAACCTTAAGTCCATTTAAGAACAATTATAGCTAATTAAGCACAACACTAAGAAGTAAGTCAACCAATTTCTCACAGGTATTACTTCATATGCTAAAATAATTTTTAAACAGCCAAGCAGTATGTTATCAAACAGCAGTAATAATTTTATTAAACTACTGATCATTTTGCATTTGCCAAAAACTAAACCTAGTTTTGAATGGCTGAATTCAGTGGCTTGCATTCAGAGACATCTAAATATTTTTATAAATTTTCAAAAGTTTAAGCCACTTGATTAGCTTTGGGAGATAAATAATTTTAATCTTATTTCTAAGCCCATTTCATAGATGCATGGCTGAAACCCAAAGAATTTAAGTGACTTACACATCACAAAGTTTTAGTTCTTGATTTAGAAACTGGAGGAACATATGCCAACTTTGTATATAACGAAATGCTGGATTATAAAATATATTAGCAGTAAGTTGCCCAACTGGATGATTTCCAGATTTCCTTTCTAGCTTAACAGTAGGATATTTGCACATTTCTCTTTGGTTTTAGTTCTAAATGTAGTTCTGTTTCAATAAGGTTTTTTTTTTTTTTTCACAACCTTTATATCTATACAGGGAGAGTAAGAGAATAAGACCCATTCTTTATTCCTAAGTTAGAAGTGGCATAGAATGAATAAAAATTTCTATATCACAATTATTAAGCACACAACTCATTTCAACGCAGCAAATCCTTATGTCATCCCAAATGGATGGACACCATAGACTTTGAACAGAGATAATACAGAAGGTCTTCAGATGTATAGTTTAAAATTTTGTTGCTGATGGTATAATAACACTTTTTCCCCAAAACAGCAAGTTTAAAAAAAAGCATGTGATGCGCCAAATGTACAATATTAACACATGTGAAGCTTGTTTTCTCAGATGAAACAGGGGCTTTTTTAAATGCATCTTTCATTAGTTGCTCTACTCTCTTGCTTCACAAGGTTTAGCATCTCTTTTCCTGACGTTGCCAGTCAGGAACTAAAGCGTATCAAGTTGGCTAGCCTGATGCTAACGCTAAAAGTTGTTTAATTTAATTTTCACAAACACTTAAAATCTTTCTTTAGACTACCTGTTTATAATCTCGGTTAATCTTGCTCCTCTCTAGTCCAACATTTTATTTATTCATGTGAAGAAATATGACTACAGCCTTCTACTGCCTTCATGCTCTACCATTGAGTCTTTCCCTTTTTTCTCTTCTCTTACCCTCTTTAACAGACTTTCACCTCTTTGACCTAAAGCACCACTCTCGGGCTTCTCCCCTGTCCCCACACTGCCTCATTCAGTAATCCAGATACAACTTATCTTTTACATGTTTCTCACTGTTGAGGATGATGATCTGATGCACCTGAGACAGTTAAGCACACAAAATGGGAGCCTTGTCTTTTAAGACACTTCAAATATTTCACAGCAAACTTAGGCATTTAATTCGAAGTAAGAAGGAGACACCATACTTATGCCTGACAACTCCTAAAATATACTGTGGTTGCTTGTTTTGCACAATGGCAGCTACCCGACTGATAAACTGAGGTGACTGGGCACGTGCAGGCTAGTTATATGATATAATGTCTCTCCAAAGGCTGCATGAATGTGAGAATTCTAACCACTAGAGTTAGGAGCCAGAGGTCTTCAAAATATAGTTCAAAGTAATGGAAATTTTAGAGTTTGAGATATTTTAGAACTTACTCAGCCCATCATCTCACTGCACGTTTTAGACCAAAAGAGATTCTAAAGAACCAGAACTTGAGATACATATCCAACTAATAACACCAGCTACTATGTAAACTTCCAAAAACTAAACAAGACCTGTGAGGACACTAACATGTAAACCTTACTGTATCCCTTTCGTGATTATTTTATTCCTTAGGAGAGATACTCAAAATCCACAAGGAAAGTTCACTGGGTAAGTACACCTTAAGTCTAACATGAACTCTCTCATCATCTCACCCCCAAAATCTCAAAAATCTCCAAATGTTACTCAAGTTTGATTCATCAAACTCCAATTCAGATTTTCCATTCAATGTGCAGCACATCACTCTCCGGTCTTTAAAGCTGGAATATTATTGTGTATCCTATTGTAGCACATGCCAAAGGATTCTGTGTTGCAAACAAAAAAAATGGGAATGGAACTTGTTTGTTTTTCTATGAAATAAATCTTCAAGATTTTCTCCCAGCTTCACAAGGATTTGGTAGAATTTATTCAAGAGATCAATTGCCCTGTCAATGAAAAAGTTTCTCCTGAATTCCAAACTTTCATGATTAAATGTGTATGGCTATTCTATTTCCCAAAATAAATTCTTCACATAATGGCTACTGACTCGCAATTATTTTTTAATTTATTTATAGAAGTCTATATATTCTACTCCTTCACACTGACTCTTTAAATTGCTACCAGTGTCTTCTGGATATGTTTTCATTTCTCAAGAAGACTGCTTTTATAACATTAAAAACTCTTAAATTGTTTATAGGTCAAATTAGACTCATTTTATTTTTCCACTAATGCCTAGATTTTTAGAAACAATTACACTGACAATATTTACATCCCATAATCCATAGGACTCTAAAACCACTACCTTTCCCTTTATTGCTCAAATTCTACCTATTAGACTTGGAGGGAAATAGAAGTTCTATCTGCAGAACACGGCACTCATGGTCAGCTTTGTTTTCTCACTCGTAGGTATTCTGTCTGATAAATGGTACTGTGAATATTACATAAAATTGTTGTTCTTATTCTAATGATGGCATGAGATGGTAAATAACATGCCTCTGATATTGTATATTCAGTTAGTATACATTCAAGTTCAAAGTGAAATGAGTAAGACACTGAATACTTTGATTACCAATTGATTCTTTCCTCTACTAAATAATGGGAATACTGTACACTACCCTTACGAACCTTAGATGCAGATCTCTTCTATTACATATCAGAACGAAAAAAAAGAAATATTACCCTCAAATTGATATGACATCTTCCTGCAACCTCTTTTCAAACATATTATGAAATTCAATAGCAAATAAAAAAAGGGAAAACAACAAAGCGACTTCAGGACAGGAGTTAAAAAATCTTTGGACTTTGTAAATTATTGCCCAACAAACTGTGGCCTCGAGTAAATAATCAGAAGGAAGAATTGTTGGCAAACAATACTTTACCTCTACAATTACAATAAAAATGTTGTATCACTTCATCATGCAACCTATATTAATTGTGAATGAAAACTTCACAGCATAGATAAAGTATTACTCTTTTTTTTTTCATTTTGTGTTCTCTTATGTTAAGGTGTATCTCTCATTTTCAATGCGTGCATTTCCTTTTAAATAGGATGCTATTACATAATATAAAATTGTTGAAAATGATATGTCAACAGATCACAAGGATGTTTTACAGTCTGCTCTCAAACAATCTATGTACCACCCCCTGCCTTGGTACCCCAATCCTAATAATATTAAAACAGAAAATAGAGTCAAAATCAGTACTAGAGTAAACGTTGACTTCATTTTCAAACACATTTTGATTTAAAAAGAAGCAAGAGAACATGATTTTGGTCTGTGTCTTCCTTTACTACTAGGTTAAGAAACTGGCAACAGCCAAAGCAGACACACATCCTTTAAAATTTGCTGCTTAGTGTCCCAGCTGATCTCACTCCCTTACACTGCCAATATAAAAATCCGATCAGGTTTAGTGACTCTGAAGGTAGGGGGCAGGGGGTGGCTCTGTGCTGTAAACTCCACTTCTTTATATTGTATTTATTCGAAAGGCATCTGATGCTTGGGTTTCAATGCCACAGAAATGATCGGGACTGGGAGGGGAGACAAGTGTGCACAGAGCATCATGAAACCCTGGGCATCACCACGATGAGAAATATTAAAGTGGAGCTACACATACATTTTTTAAGAAAGATCATATCTTCTGTTTTTTAACATTTTCTTTTCTAAAACACACATTCTTTCAAAGATGTGAAGAGCAGAAATAGAAACGTTGTTGCATATGAAAGTTTCAACGGTTCTGCTGCCAGCAGCTTTTCTGTATAGTGTTCCTCTTACCTACAGTGTGTGTTGGCACTGGCAGGTAGCCCTAATTCGTTAGTAGCCAAATTATTTTTGTCCCGAAAGTACGAGAAATCTCCATAGCACATGAATGAGACATGGTTTACTAGTTTACACACATTTTTATAACTCCAAGAAACCAAAACTCATTCACAAATGCTCTCGTTTCAGCAAAGAGAAGGGCCACAGAACACCACTTGGGATTCCTGGTCCCCATTGCTCCAGGAGGAAACCGATCTTTTCAACTTCCATAAAGAACTTTGATCCTTAATGCAAGAAAAATAAACAGCTTTCTTTCCACCACACTCTACATTTCATCTAAGTCAAAACACATCAGGACCAGGCATTAAAAAACAAAAAATGTCATTCAGTAATAAACCTAAATGTCTCCAGATAACAAGTCATCACGGCGGCACAGTGGGTTTCAACAGCGTGGTTCACAGCGAGTAGCATCCTCTTACTGCATGATCACCAGATACATTTACACACTGCTATCCCACCTTCACTACGTTACAGAGCAAAGAGTAAGAAGAAACAAGCAACACTTAGAAATATGTAACACCAGTGATGATTCAGCCACACCAAAAAAAAAAAAAAAAAAAACACACCAACTCTGCATTTTAACACAAGACCAAAGTCAACGCATTACCACTGAAGAGCCAAGTGACTGAAACGTTACTGAAATAAAAGATCTGAAATACAATGAAGCAGGATCGGGTTTGAATTCATTTAAGGTTCAACCTAATTTCAAACACCTATGAACATCCACAAGGTTTTGCTTTTAATTTTCCTTCTGTCATGTTTTATGGGCAAAAAGTCCTTAAACTACCTTGTAATAGATTAATTACTTTCAAGCTGGGTGACAAAAGGGCAGAATGACCGGAAAATGATACAAAAGAAACAGCAAACGCATGTTAACAAGTTTATCAACAAACCTGGGTAATTCTCATGAAGTACAGATTAAGGTTCAGTGGTTCCAAACTGGCAGCATTCAAATTGGGTTCATATTTGGGTTTTTTGTTTTGTTTGTTTTTTTAAACCACCTGTCCTAAAACGACATTGTTTATGCTAATTATCTTTGTTTATGCCACAATTCTGTTTGTTTACTACATTCTTTTAAAATACCATATCCCTGTAAACAGTTCTCACCAGAATTCTTCTAAATCTTGTTTCGGTCTGGTCCTTCTCGGCAGCCCACTGAGCAGAACGCAGCCTCTACAGTGAAGGTGCAAGAGCTGGGAACAACTTGGAGTCTCTGACTCCCGAGGCTGGCACAGGCAGGGAGGACTGCTGAGGTTTTACTCTCAGGCTCCAAGGGAAAAGGATCCTGAATGTGGAGCAATGCAACATCCCCCTATTGGCCAAGCAGAGCCCTACGCCACAGTTATCTCCAGACGACATGGAGGAGCTCTCCAGAAGTCAGCAAAGAATGGCTCATCCTGCAGGGAGCGGAGAAAGACCCAGACGTCACAAAGGACAAAACGGTCTTCTCTTGAACCATTATCAGCTCCACACTGAAATGAAGGACTAGGAGGCATTCTCCTAAAGTGTGTCCCAACACACAGTGTTCATTTGAGGAAAACTGTTATCAGTCTTGAATTTTTTTTTTTTTTTTTAGTGCTCCAGCAGTATCGCTTGATTAGTATTTGTCTATATGGCATTCAGCTTTTAGGATGAATGCAAATGATGATGCTACCCATCAATGTAAAGGAAGGACAGAACGCATGGAAGAAGGAAGACTGTGCTAGGTCATAACCCATCTCTTGTAAAACAAAATGCTGCTGTCAGGAAGAGGTCACTTCATTGCTGTGGCTGAATCTCTGAACATCGTTTGACCTGACTGCCATCACCTGCATCAGGGATCGGCACATTGGAACCACACTTGTATAAAAGTTAGTGCACCAGAAAAACTTACATCAGTGTATTTTCCACACTATTAACCTCACTGATATTATGAATTAATAACGAGTGGTGGATGCAAACAAAATCTATCAGCCACACTTATTTAAGGGAGCTACCAAAAGGGAGGCATTCAGACAACATAATGTGCATCTGCATTGTAAAACACACTCATTAGGTGGCTGAAGAACTGATAGTAGAAAGAACAGACGATAAAAACCAGACTTTACTCGTCACTGTAATTTTGCTATCTAAATACATCACGAGTGTAATCCGTATGAAATAGCTCCCAACTCCACACGGGACTAGTGTGCTTAAGAATCAGGACCAGTTTTATCACTTGCCTCTCACATATGATGCATAGATGTATTTTTGGTTAAAAGCTCCCTAAGAACAGGTAAATACTAGAACATGTGCTTATTATATAGAAGAAACATAAGAATGCACCAACGCGTGATGTAGCCGTGTAACGGTCACACATCTCTATCACACCTGCTAAACAGGGAGCGACGCACAATGCCACCTGACATTTAACCCTTAATCGTTCTCAATAATCAGTCCGCTCTGCTGATGCCAAGTCTTCAGGATAGTACTCCAGTCTGAGTGTGGCACAAGTGTGGTTTTGAACTGCTTCAGGCAAGCTGCATTCCAAACCAAGAGCTCAGCTCAGTTTGCTTGCAAATTATTGAGAAGGCAATTAAAATCTATAGACACCTTTTCCCCCCAGAAAATAGTAAATGAAAAATAGGTGCAATGAGCAAAGCCTGATATCAGAACTTCTTGAAAACAAAATATCAAACTCACAGGTTGATAGCTGCCATTAAGTGGCAGAATGTGGACGGATAACTTCCCTTTGATTCACACCTAAGGGGTTACCTGCTAATCTGAACAGATTTATCACGCATGAGCATGATGGTTTAAAAAAACCTTTCTAATTAGGTTGAATAAATCTGTCTGGGTAATAAATATTTTATTACTATAATCAAACTGTGGGTAATTAAAATACCACTAATGACAGAGATATTCCTGCAACCCACTAGCAGCAGTTTTGTACGAGAATTTTACGGATCAGTTTTCCCGCGGTATATGATGCATAGTTCTCTCTTAAGGAAAAAAAAAAAAAAGTAAAAGTTTTCTAGTGAGAAAAAATGATTTCTTTAGTCATAGAATCGCAAAGAAATTTGATGAGACAATAATGCAAATAAGTTGATTTTTATTGTAAAAGGTTTTACATTTCCAGTGTTCCCTTCAACATCTAAAAAATAGGCTTTCTGCTGTCTAGACCCGTTTTGAGAGAAGTAATCAAGTAGGTGACACTATAAGCCTCATTTGCCTATTCCCACTGCCTTCAATTTCAACTTTTTTCTTTTCCTTTAAAAGCACTATCAACCTGTCTGAAGCAATAATCTTATATTTGCTTTTCAATTAAGTCTCTAATACACAGCAATTAGAAAGTTTAACAAGTAGCTCTAGCCATAAAACTATTAGATTGCAATCAAGTAGGACAAATGTAAACTAAAAGGAAAGAAATATAGCATTATTGATAAATTACCATAAATGATTATAGCTCATTCACCAGAAAGAAGCTCAGACTGGTTTAAGGCAAAGACTCTAAATATTTTTCTATTAGCAGTAGCAAGAAAGAGGTGACATTCTCAAAGAAAATAACTTTATGCCACAATCTTTCATTATCTAAATATGTAAATTCATTGGCTTTTAAAGAATTTAAGAGAATTCAGGTATTCATTCTAATGACAGCAATACTAATGTTTAGACCGTGTTGGCACTAATGTCTGCTCTAAATAAAGAGATGTAGAAGACTTTTGTTACAAACACTTTTTCAGAATGTGTTCTGCCTGTTCACCTCCCACCTGAGAATCCTGTGTTGCAGGACCATCATCAGTTAAGACAGGAATGTTTGAAAATAAAAATGAAAAATCTCATGTTCTTTAATCTTCAGAATCACTCTTCTGTTTGCTCTATCTCATGAATATTTTTTAACAATGAAATTGTTTTTATTTCTTAAGTCTTTCAAAACTGTTCATTAGCCTGAGAATATTGCCCATGTCGGTTTCAAGGCTGATCATACAAACATAAACAAATCTCACTTTTGATCCTGATATTTGTTATATTTTTCTAACTTCCAAATAATCTACAAGGTGGAAAGAATAAATAAAAGATGGATAAACTCTATCGATGAAATTAGAGGGAAGATGGGGGCACTGAAAACTTCTACAATTCATGAGCCCCAAAAACTTCTCTGTGTCCTCTGCACCACAGTTCTCTATCTCATGAACAAATCTGCAAGTCTCCTTTTCAGGTTTCTAAGTTTAAGTGAAAAACTCATCGATGGCAGGTGGGCAAACTGAATAAAAATTAACAGTCAAGAGAAATGATCGACTATTCAACAAAAGTTGGAAATAGTTGAAAAGGCAAAATGTGATAGTGTAACTGCATCATCTATACTTCCTTTAAAGACTATAAATATTCAATATTGTGTCTACATGCTATACTCTATGTGGGTGACTACAGATACACTCACCCGTACAAATTCAATGTAAACAAATAGTAATGATTTACTGAGATTTTGTATGTATTACCAATTACAACCACAGGGGAATTATTAAGAAATTGTGTACTGTATGATATTTTTCAAAATAATCTTAGCTACAAAGATTTCCAAACGTGATGTCCATAGTGACAACCCTATTGATTATCACTTGCTTATTTAATTAGCCAGTTAGAAAAGCATGCCTCTGGATGACAAAAAAAAAAAAAAAAAAAAAAAAGAAGAAGAAAAAGAAAAAAAAAGAAATTCTCACCAGGAAGAAACAAATGTTAAGAGATTTGAGCATCAGAATAGGAAAGGGAAAAGTTTAGCTTAAAAAGAGATAATTGAAAAAATACAAATAAAGTTCACAGCAGGAAGCTAGCCTATATAGAGAAATAGGCTACAGCCTGTTAATATGTAACTACCTTTTTATAAGAATAATCTGTTAACAGGCTTACAAATCAGACTCAGAGTTTTATTTTGAAAAAGTGTAATTAGAATTAAAGAATATTATCATTTAAGTGCTACTCTGTGCATGCTTGAAAACTTACTGGGTTAAATTAGCAAATCACTACATTAGGCAACAGTATGTTCCAGTATGAATAACTCCAATACCTACATATGAAATAAGGTTGTATTTGCAAATAAAAGCTCACTAATTAAAAAAAATTAATGCGTACTTTGAAAAAATTAATTCAAAAGCTGTTAAGCAAGCTGACCCATTCACTGGAATTATCTAATGAGGATGCACCTTCTTAAGTTAAAACAAGAGGAGGAAATGAGACAAGAAGACAACACTAAAGTATACATGTTGGCTATTTTACTTTCCTCACTCATGTGCTACTCGCTTGTCTAATATTTGACCACAGTCAGGCGTTATTTTCTTCTCAATACGCTTTTTCTCTCCCATGGCTTCACTTCTAGAATGTTTTAATCTTTGTCCTTTCTTTTTTCGTCTTTTCATATCAAATTCAGTCGTTTGAGCGATGAACAGCTTGACTTAGCATATTTTTAACCAGCTGGTCTAGCACCTAGCTTGCATTGCATAGTCAGATACAACAAATGTTTATACAGAAGGTAGCTTTCATGAAAATGAAAAAAAGCCTGGGTATCATGCATCCTGGCTTTTTTTAGCTTTTTTTTTTAATTCACCATACAGAATACAAAGTTTGAATTCTTTTTAATGGCAAACAAAATTCTATTTATAGATCAAAAAGATGAACTTATGCTGGGATAAGAACTCAAATTGAAAAATTGCAATGTGTACTTATAGGAATATGAAAAGGGCTAAAATTCTTTCAAAGCCCGGCTTTACTTGCAACAACATCAAATGGAGGTATATGGCACACATTTCGCTAAATAAGAACAACTTAATTACAAATACACTTATTCCCATCCTAGCAAAAGGGAAAAAATACAGTAAATCACAATTCTGTTCAGACAACTAGCATGAAAAGTGGCCTCTAAAAGTTAGGAAGGCAGCAGATACAATCCCCCATCCCATTTCTCCTGTTCATGGCACTTAAAAGTATAATCCACTAATATATACCTGTGATGTTAAATATTCTTTAGAAAAAAAAAAAACAAAACAGCCCTACTCTCTTATATCAACAAAAGGTCGTGTGCTTCCCTGAGCAGCTTTCAAAGTTTTACGGAAGGATCAAATAGGAACTTCCAGCCTCGGCTGCCACCACCACCAAAACCTTCTGTCACCCCAGAAATTACAGGAGACAGGGATGCTGAAAATAATAACACTCGCACAAACGCATTTTGAAAAGGTGTAGAAGGGGAGGGAAAAAAAATCAACGAAGGGGGAAAAAAGTAAGGGAGTAAACGAGAAAGAGAAGCAGGGAGTGAGGGAGAGAGGGAGAGGGAGAGAGAGAGATGCTTAATGCTCATTTCATTTCCTGTTCTAGGACGCAACCTAAAAACGCGAGCAGAAATCTCGGAGACTTTGCAAATCAGTTCAGTTTGGTCCGGGCAACGACAACACAAACCAGCTAACGAGACTGCGGGAGAGCCCTGGCTAAAGGCGCCCCTGAACAAACACGTTTTGGGGGGCACATCTTCCAGCGGATCCAGAGACCACTGGAAAACGGCAGAGTTGCGCTTCAGTATCTGAGGGTGGGGGGGAAGACTGTACTCACCTTTCAAACTCCTGAGGTAAATCAGGGTCAGTGAGCATGCTGCAAAAGCACAGTTTCCCTTTGTCACAGCAGCCACCTAGGATCGCCTCCAACTGAACCTGTCAAGTGAGTCCGAACCTTCTAAACCAATTGATTTTCTCTCTCTCTCTCCCTCTCTCTCAATCTCTCAATCTCTCCCCCCTCTCCCTCTCTCCCTCTCTCTCCCCCTCTCCCTCTCCCTCTGCCCCCCTTCCCCCCTCTCCCTCTCCTAGGACTCCTTGACCAGTCTCTTAAAGGGGTAGCGCACTTCCAGCAGCGGGGTCTGGCCGCTCCCCCTCCGCGGAGCCGCACGCTCCGGCTGCAAGGCACTAAACAACCTCAGGGTGCCTGTCCTTTCCTTTTAATTCTCTCTCCTAGACATCACCCAGTGTGAGAAGTCAACTCATTTAACACGTCTCCCACACTCTCTCCCCTCTAAATAATAAAAGTCACACACACACACACACACACACACACACACACACACACACACGCATCGGCGTGATACTGTAAAATGCATTTGCCGCTGCTGGGGGAAAAAAAATAAGTCTGTACACTCACAGCACCCCGACGAAACTGCAGTTATTAAGTAATTAAACAAAAAAAAAGATGAAATGTTTGCAAGCGCGTTTCTACACAAAGAATTGTTATTCCTCCTCACCCCTTTCTAGGCTCCCGGAGCGCACACGGAAACACGCGCACTCACACACACACCCGCACACACGCACACACAACAATCAGGCATTGTTCTGCGGGAAGAAAAGCAACTTTGACAGATTGAAATATAGCAGAGGCCCCTTCAAGGAAACCTGTAAACAACTTGTCACTCACTCTGTCCGGCTCACTGTTAGCTCGTGCTTTCCACAAAGTGCTGCGAACGTCCTGGCAACCCAACCAAAGTTTCTTCAGCTCCAAACTCCATGAAACACGATGTGCGATGTGGAGGGGAACAGGTATCCACATGCCAAAATCACGCGCACCAGCCAGCCACAACCCCCAGCCGAACCCCGACATAAAACCCCAAGGAGGGTCCCAGCAAACTGTCCCTTGTGGGATCGCCGGGGAGGTCAGGGGGCAGGCAGCGCTGCCCTGGCTGGGATCTCTTTAATTTCCTCTGCCCAGGCGGCCACAGATAACAAGGTGGACTAACTGTGGCTTTGCGGATCCTGAGCTGGCTGGCAAGGCACAGCCTCCATAGCAGTTCCAATTATCTAGATAAAAATCTGGCAGGCGAGGAGGGTGATCAGGTAATGTACCTTTGACATGAAATGACAGAGGCACACGCACACACAGAGAGGGACACTTACACAGACACGCACGCAGAGATGGAGGCTGCCCCGCGCACCGCAGCATCTGGCCAGGGAGTAGGCACACACTCACCACCACGAGATAGTGTGCATTCTTCACACACACACACACACACACACACTCAGTCACTCACACGCGCTCTCCACTCCTACTGGGAGGGCTCATTCTGCACAAAAGGCTACATTACAGAGCCCGCCCCAATAAGGGAAAGAGAGGAAAAAAAAGCCTTCCATTGTTGTGAGGGCAGGTCAGTTGATTAGATTTTCTGTGGAGAATTCCACGAGGAAATACCCTTCAAAGCCGAAGTGATTAACTGGGGGCTATTCTGGAAATGGAGCAGACAATGGCTCAATAGTCTGCACAGCCCATGTCCAGGCTGGCACTGAACTCACTTAAAAAAAAAATAAAAGCCAGACTCCCTGTTCTTTTCCACACATCTCCCCCAACCCCCTCCACTCCTTCCAACTTCCCCTCCCAATTCCTTTTATTTTGCAGCTGGACAACATTAAGGGCCTTTAAAACCACAAGGGTTGACCCTACAGCAGTTTGATTAGGTCCCACTTTTTTTTTTTTTTTTCCTGGCGACAGGCAGACAGTAAGTTTACTTTTTCAAACGTACACAATGACACACCATACACATATATTCCACACAGAAAAATCAATTGTTAACCTTCTCAGGCTACCAAATTTATTCTTCGTTCAACGGTTAGAAATTTGGGGGACCCAAGTTGATAATAACTTCATAATGAGACTCATCACTCATGAGACATCCTAAAAATATATGTGCATGCACTTCGAAATCAATGTGGAATAAGAATCAAGCATGTCACTATGGAGTTATGACACTAACAAAACACAGAATTATGACCCACCCTGAAAAAGCTGTTAACAAGGGATGTGGCAAAAATGACTTGATGCTGACATGATTTTCATTTTCAGCAGTTGGGGAAGGGGGAAGGATATTACTCACTATTCTTTCTTGTCATTAGCCTCAAATTATTTTTTATTACAGCAACAACCTATTCCTACATAGAAAAATGAGAAAATTGTTACATTTATTTTAAATAAATTATTCTTTCAGCCCTTAAGGGGCCTACAGTCTAATACAATCTGATAATGTCTACAAAAATCATATTTTTCTTCTATTGTTAACCGTGGCTTTGGGATTGGGGTATGGTAGCTGCGTAGTTACACATGCTTCAAAAATATTTACTGTTTTCCCCTAAAATCTTGCAGAATGAAGAGTAGGTTATAGGGAGCCACAGGAGCTGGAGTCAGGGAGAGGAGACAGAGAGAGCATAAGAAGGAAACATCGTGGCAGCATAAAGATAGAAACAAAGATAATGGCCATAAGGCAGGATGCTGAGATCCGTATGGTCCCAGCTGCTGTCTTGCTACAGCTACTACCTCTGGTTGTTTCCACGAAACTCCAATCCAGAAGGTCACCGGAGCAGGTAAGAGACAGCGTGAGGGTTTGAGGCCAACGACAGTATAAAGGAAAGATGTTCATCACAGAATCTTCTTTATCTGTGGTTTGGTTTTTATAGACACTTAGTATATGTATACACGCAGATATGTATACACATGCCAAATAAACACAACAACATACAGGAAAATGTTAAATGCTTTGAAAGTTAGCTTCAGATCTCAATGTATCCTATAAACATGCTTGTGGTCATTAAAAAACAAACTCTTTCTTGCAGTCATCTATGCTCAAAGAGCTTTAACAGAATACGAATCAGACAGTATTTGCAAAATAAAATAATGATCACCCTACTAACGATAATTTGAACGAATGGAACTCGAAGTGCATGAGGAACTTGGCTCACATAAATCAACCCATGGATCTTACATGGTGTAAAAAGGAGTAGGTATTTCTCGTACAACACTAATTTTCCCAAAGTTCAAACTTGGGAAAAATAATTTTAATTCATATCAATGCTTAGTAGCACATTTGCTACTTGAAGCCACATTTTGTATCTGTTTCACTTGTGACACCATTGTATAGGATAACCTGAAGCCCCAGAATTTACAGCTGAGTTTAAACCCCAAGATGTTATGCTTTTTTTAAACTGACTTAAAAGGCTTTCAGGTAATTGTCACTAAAAATTAAATTTTACAAAATCTCTTTGTCACTAGGTAAATATGGTTTTTGATGGCTAAATGGAGTAAATATTTTTAAATGTACATCTTTAGGTTGTAAAAGTTTTTCTTTTATTTGAAATCCATAATGCAAATTAGCATTTCTGCCACATTTTAGAACGTCAGCAAAAAGGGAAGATGGTTCCAAAATATTTTGGTCAAATCTTCCCACTGGCTAGTTAATGATCCAATAAATCTAATTTTTAGTATTAAGTTGGTGTTACTTATAAATCATCTTTTTATTTTACACTGTGTTAAAATGTTTAAATACTAAAAATATGTTCATAAATAGCACACAGAATTGTTAAATAAATCCATATTCTTTATCAATTATCTAAAAAGTATAAGATACGCAACTGATACATTATATGTGTCAATATATATAATTTATATATTATACAGGCAGTTTTCTCTACAGCAGAACAAAAATTTCAAAGTGATCTCTGCTATGCTATTGTAAGCAGGATAACAGAAATTGTCATAATATATGTGGACTGAGACATACTTCTGTATTCATCTAACATCTATTTAATGCTTAACAGTATGTGAAGTGCTATGGTTTAAAAACAGAAGAATTCAAGGAAAATGCATAGCAAATCTACTTTTATGTAAAACTGACCAAGTTCCCAATGTACTGTTCAGAATCGAAGCTTCCCAAGGTCAATCTGGTAAGCTGTGTTAAAACCAAAATAAGAAAATGAACAAAAAACAGTGACAAGAAGTTAACCGCACAATACTTAAAACAGTAGGATCTACAAACACCGACAAACACAAATACATCTTCCAAAGATGACCAAAGCACAAAGTACAACAGAAATACTATAGAACAGGTTTCTATTTAATGAGTCTCTTTGACACTGCTGTGGTGACATTATGGAAAATGGAATGAAACTGAAAAAGTATGCTTCTCAGCTCATGATGTTTCCACTGCAAATATAAAAAGGAGAGGCACACGGGCTAAGAAAATAAAGATATGCTAGAAAACACAGCCAGAAAATTCTCCAAGAGAATACCAGGAACTTTTAAGATCATAAACAAAGTTATTTCCAAAGTTAACCCCTTTTCATGCAAATATTTCTAATAATTTTAAAAGAACATGGTTTCCTTCCTCTATTTTAGGATAGAACTGTTTGACTTCTTCTATTTAATAAATGAAATTGACATATGTAGTCAAAGGCACAGACTACACTTCACTATGTAATATGTGTTTCTGCACCAAATTATAGGATTCATGCCTCATGAAATATGGAAAGCTATTTTTGGGGAAATAAAACTTTTAATATTATGACCACAATGAATTTAGAGCCCATCAGTGTCAGACAATACTAGTTTTTTATTGACTAAGCTGATATAAGAGGCATTAAAATATTTTCCTGCATTATTGGTTATTTTGTTATAAACACATTTTTTAAAAAAGAACATTCTCTGTTTCTAAAAAAAAAAAAAACTTTCAAGTAATGTACATCTCTGAGTCATTCACCAGATGCCCAGTGAGCTCACTACTAGCCTATAATAAGTAAAACTCTGACTTAGCATAGACTACAGTTGTGTAATACTGGACCTCATCAGAAAGCCATCTAAGAAACGCAATACTCTACACCTTCTTTTTAAAGATCTAAGATTCAGTTCTCCAAAATGCCCATCTGTCAGGGGACTGGCATACAATAGCCTACAAATTCAAGGTTGTTCTACTTTCTACTGTCTGTCCCTGAGTCAGAATATACAAATAAATCACCATCAGATGGCAAAACTGAAGAATCAGTGTTGTTCCAGAACACCTTAATTTTACGTCTCTCATAGAGATGATGGCATCTCCAGTAATCGCGTCTGCTATTTGATCTTATTATCTCCTTCTTCAAAGTCACTTGACATTATTTTAAAGTGCTAGTTTTTATTTTGGATGGATTTCTGTCTACATTATACATCTTTAAAATACATCGTTTCATTTAATATTCTACACAACTATAGGAGATATGCAGTACTATTATCCTAGTTACAAATGAGGAGGTCCAAAACTACTAAGTAGAGATGGGGAACACCAATGTTATGCTAACTTTCCTCCAAAATTCTCAAATGGCAACAAATGTTGATTTAACTCATGTAGCATAATGGCAGTTAAGCAATGAGTACACAGCGAAGTGCTTACTAGGCTTTTTTTTTTTTTTTTTTTTTAAGATTTCATTTATTTGAGAGGCCCAGTTACAGATAGAGGAACAGAGAGAAAGGTCTTCCATCTACTGGTTCACTCCCCAAATGGCCACAACAGCCAGAGCTGGGCATATCTGAAGCCGGGAGCTTCTTCTGAGTCTCCCACATGGGTGCAGGGGCCCAAGCACTTGGGCCATCTTCTGCTGCTTTCCCAGGGCATAGGAAGAGGGCTGGATCAGAACAGGAGCACCCAGGACATGAACGGGCGACCATAAAAGATGCAGGTGCCACAGGTGACGGCTTAGTCTATATGCTGCGTATTGACCCCATTAGGTATGTTTTACTGCTAACTAAATGCCCAAAATTGTTCAAAGTCAGGTTGAGTGATAACTGTGCCATTCTCACAAGTTACTTGATATACAGGGTGGTTCTTCACACAACAAAGGAGTTAAAGAATAAAGTGCTTATCTCATTTACAGTACCAAATACCCAAATTACTACTAGTCTTCCTGCAATAAAGTCAATTTTCTGGTTTCCATCCAACTATTTTGTGATGCAACCTGTGTCTTAAAAGAAAGAATCAAGGCTGGTGCTATGGTATATTGTGTTAAGCAGCTGCCTGCAGTGCCGGCATCCCATGTGAGTGCCACTTTGAGTCCTGGCTGCTTCTCTTCCAATGCAGTTCGCTGCGAATGCACCTGGGAACGCAGCAGAGGATGGCCCAAGTGCTTGGGACCCTGCACCCACGTGGGAGACCAGGAAGAAGCTCCTGGCTCATAGCTTTGGATCGTCCCAGCTCTGCCATGGCAGCCCTTTGGAGAATAAACCAGCGGATGGAGGATCTCTCTGTCTCTAATTCTGAATTTCAAGTAAATCAATCATTTTTTTAAAAAAGAATCAGTTATTTCTACCAAAGCATGTAGATCAGGAGAATAAAATCAACTTAATTAATGGTGTCTTCACTTTTTTACTCATCAGATAGTCATCTTCATGAAGATGAAAAGGACTCTGGTGGTAAGAATCAGACGAGTAAGGAATTCATGTAGTCAATAAGAAGAGAACCCACTCAAATGGGATCACGCCTTTTCAACACGCTCTTGGCCACCAAGCTTGCTGTAACTTTTCAACTTGGAAAGAAATTTGGTGAACTCACTCCACTAACATTTTACCTAGAGACAGCAGCAAAGTGACAATGGCACCAGTAAGTGGCTTTGTTTCTTGATTGACAATGTCCGTGGAATACTTTAGTACACAAGACTCAGAGAACTTTTCTCACCATTAACATACGTATTATATTTATATTAACTAATCAGAGCAGTAATGAGAGCTACTCTGAGTAAAGCAAGAAAATATTTAACTGACTTCATTTTTAAAGTTGACTACACTTATTTATTCTGTGTATTCATTGATTTCATATTAAGTGAATAATTGCCTTAAAAAAGGATTCATTTATTTGAAATGCAGAATGAGAGCGATGAGAGAGAGACATCGTCCATCTGCTGGCTCACTACCCAAATGGCTGCACATGCCAGGGCTGGGCCAGGCCAAAGCCAAGAGCCTGAATCTCCATCTGGGTCTCCCATGTGGGTGCAGGCGCCTAAGAACTAAGCCATCATCTGCTGCCTTTCCAGGTTCATTAGCAGAAGCTGGATCAGAAGCACAACAGCAAGCAGTGGCTAAACTCACTGTGCCCCAATGCTGGCTCCCTGAATGACAATTTTTATTCACAGTAAATGAGAATGTGGCCTATTAACAATGTTCAGTGTACTTGTATCTAGAATGACACAGGGGTCAAGTTAGGAGGCCAGCCTCTCTGCTTTCACTTCTAAAGATGTGATCTTGCCTGTCTTTGACATCCCAGGGAACACGATTCCTGAGCTCACTCTCAGCTCTGAACTTATGGGGCAGGCAATTCACACAGCAGCAGTTGTTACCTCTTGAAGACCTCTGTGGAGTCCTGGCTCCCTCCCAATTCCAGATTGCTGTGAATGAAAACCTTTGGGATAGAGCAGTGATGGCTCAAGTACTTGGCACCAACATGGGAGCCCTGGAGTGAGTTCCGGGCTCATGGCTTTGGCCTGGCTCAGCTGCGGCTGTTGCAGTCACTTGGGGAGTGAATCAACAGAAGGAAGATTTTGTTTCTTGCTCACCCTGCCTGTCTTTCTCGCTCTAATTCTCCATCATACTGTCTTTCAAATAAAAAAAAAAATATTTTGTTTCTATAATATCTTTGTTGATAAATCAATTCATAATTTATAAAAGTTCTTATAACACACATTGGAAGACTGCTCCTTGTGTATATTTAACAGTTATTTTGACCTTTCATAGTATACCATAATTTGTGTACATACATCAATAAAAGAGAAATAATCCTTTTTACTAAAATTAATTCCACTAAGTTGAATTTACAATGACCAGCATAACTTAAATAATAAAAAAAGATATTTTCAAAAGAACAATATTATGACTAAGTTGATACATTTGTGATTCTGAAAAATTTTGTGCTTGAATTTTCAAGTCACAAGTTTGATTTGTTCCCATTAGTATACTTGCATTTAGTAGCATTACCTAATTCAATGAGAGAATGAAAAGAAGTTTCTTGCTATTTGAATGTCTCACATGTCTGATGGAACAGTGATTGGCAAGTGGGGCAAATAAATAGAAGAGATTCTTCCCTTATGCAGAATTTCAAAACATCAAGTGAAAAATTCAAAGGCAAACTAAAAGTTGTAATGTCAGAAATCCTGACAGCCAAATTGTGTCCATGACAGCACAGTTTTTAAAATGAATTTTGTGGACACTCTGAAGAACTGCCAAACAGCTTCTTTTATTTTTTTCTTATTATTGTTAAGAAAAATTACTCACTACCACAGTTTAGGAAATCATTCAGTCAGACTATGCACAGGACAAAAAAAAAAAAAAAAAACAAGAAGCAGATAATATCAGGTGAATATATTCAGTTATTTAATAAGCATTTAGATATCAAGTGGCATATAACTGAGGCAGTATATTTGGTGCAGGGGTTTAAAGTGGTACTTGGAACACTCACAGCCCACATCAGAGCATGAGTCTGAGTCACTGTCTCGCTTCCAATTCCAGCTTCCTGTTAATTCCTACCCGTAGAGGCAGCAACTATAGCTGAAGAGACCTAGACTGAATTCCCCTGGCTTGAGCTTGGCTCAGCCCTGGCTGGCTACTGGGGAGTAACCACTGGATCAACTGTCTATCTCTCAGTCTCTGTATCTCTCTCTCTCCCTCCCTTGCTGCCTTTCAAATAAATTAGGTATTTTAAATGGTATATTATGATTAGAAAACATCTAAGTAAATAACTATATAGAAATCATGGTTCTATAAACAGAAAAATTTATTTCTAAATTTTGCATAGTGTCAAAGCATAGACTAAAGAAAAAAATCACTCAAGTATGATGTACTCCTGGAAACTACCTCAGATTATTAGTCTCTGTATACATATTGTATCTAATGAACAAATGAACTTAATAAACACTGCCTTTTTTTTTTTTTTTGACAGAGAGAGACAGAGAGAAAGGTCTTCCTTCTGTTGGTTCACCCCGCTACGGCCAGCACGCTGCCCCGAACCGAAGCCAGGAGCCAGGTGCCTCCTCCTGGTCTCCCATGCGGGTGCAGGGCCCAAGCACTTGGGCCATCCTCCACTGCACTCCCGGGCCACAGCAGAGAGCTGGACAGGAAGAGGAGCAACCGGGACAGAATCCGGCGCCCCGACCGGGACTAGAACCCGGGGTGCTGCTGCCGCAGGTGGAGGATTAGCCTATTGAGCTGCGGCACCGGCCTGTTCTATTTTTTATTTATGGATTTATTTATTTATTTGAAAGGCAGAGTTACCGAGAGGCAGAGGCAGAGAGAGACAGAGAGAGAGAGAGGTCTTCCATCTGCTGGTTCACTCCCCAAATAGCCACATGGCCAGAGCCAAGCTGATCCAAAGCCAGCAGCCAGGAACTTTCTCTGGGTCTCCCATGTGGGTCAGGGGCCCAAGGACTTCGGCCATCCTCTATAGTTTTCCCAGGCCATAGCAAAGAGCTGATTGGAAGTGGAGCAGCCCGGTCTCGAACCAGCACCCATACGGGATGCCAGCACTGCAGGCGGCGGCTTTACCCACTATGTCACAGCGCCAGCCCAATAAACACTGTTCTTAAACTGACTCTGTGCCCCAAATTTTACTAAGACCCACAACCTAAATTTTTTTCAGAGCTTCTTTTCTGGGGTGCACACTCCAATTAAAGGCAGAAAGGCAAAAATAAACTTTTTGCCATAGAATTATGAACAAGGATAAGAATATTCTAGCCTCCTTCATAAGCATTAGTCAAATTACCTAAAATCAACAATTTTCACACAAATTAATTTTCTCAACAATTCTAATGGAAAGTACAAGTATATGGGGTCAGCGTCGTAGCTCACTTGGTAAATCCTCCACCTGCGGTACCGGCATCCCATATGGGTACCGGGTTCTAGTTCCGGTTGCTCCTCTTCCAGTCCAGCTCTCTGCTGTGGCCTGGGAGGGCAGTGGAGGATGGCCCAAGTGCTTGGGCACCTGCACCCGCTTGGGAGACCAGGAAGAGGCACCTGGCTCCTGGCTTCGGATCAGCGTAGCTCCGGCTGCAGCAGCCATCTCAGGGATGAATCAACGGAAGGAAGACCTTTCTCTCTCTCTCTCTCTCTCACTGTCTAACTCTGTCAAATAAATAAATAAAAAGGAAAGTACAGGTATAAAAATTAACTGCTTTCTGGTTTTACAGCTAATAGAGGCAGACACACAGTTTAAACCTAAGTATTTTGATTAAAAATCTGGTGCCTGATCTACTCTACAAGATATCTACTTCCAAAGCCTGTTTGTAATCCAAGGTAAAATAATGAAAGTGTTATTTTGTGAAACAATATTCTATGTTAAGTAAATATAAGTAAAAAATAATTTCAAAATAAGATGACTAAAGGCTGTTGCTGTGGCATAACAGGTAAAGTTGCCACCTGCAGTGCCACCACCCCATATGGGTGCTGGTTCTAGACCCGCTGCCCTACTTCTGATCCCGCTTTCTGCTATGGCCTAGAATAGCAGTAGAAGATGGCCCAAGTCCTTGGGTCCCTGAACCCACGTTGGAGACCTAGAAGGAGCTCCTGTCTCTTGGCTTTGGATAGGCACAGGTCCAGCCGTTGCCATCATCTGGGGAGTGAACCAGCTGGTGAAAAGACCTCTCTCTCTCTCTCTCTTTCTCTCTCTCTCTCTTTGCCTTTACATTCCATATCACACAAATTTTCTGAAGTCCTCTCAATGATTAAAACAATCCAGTATTCATGAATTAAAAAATCAATGAAACACAAGAAAAAAAGCAAACACATAGAATTTAGTATAGTCTATTAGTAAATTATATAAGTGGCACTCAACTAATGTTCTATGATTTCTTCATCACCAATATGAACAGGACTATAACTTTCACATGGATCAAAGATTTAAAAGTAAATCATAAATTACTAGAAGGGAACAAGAACAAATTCAAATATAATTTTAGAGAAGTTATTACTAACATTAGATTCAAATTCAGAAGCAATTAAGTAAAAATTAATCATTCCAATTATATAAACATGCAAAACTTCTCAGTAACAAATGGCACCTTATTCAAATCAAAAAATACCCAACAATTACCATATCCAAGGAAATTTCTATATTCTAAGACAGGTAAAGAGCGATAGGGTAAACACCCACCATATAGTAGTAAGACAAGAAAATACACATATATAAACTGCTCAAAGGAAATCAAAATGCTTCCTAAACATGTATAAGATATTCAACATCTTCCATTGTAGTAAATGTCATTTCTAACTACAATGTGATAACCATTTTAACCTGTTAAATTGACCAAAAAACTCAAAACTTTGTTGAACACTAATTGAGCATTATATTATATTATTCATTCAGAATTAAGCCATTTTCTCTCTCCCTCGGAAAAAATGACCTGTACTTAGGGAGTATTCCGAACCCACTGACTTTGTCTTAGATACATTATTTGCTTTGGTTGATGCAATATAGAGCTTTCTATTGGAATGCTTGAATTGACTCAGTGTCCTGCTCTTGTTTTTACCTTCCTCAATGAAAACAGCACCTTCTGACAGGAGCTAATTCATCAGCCTGAGTCTTAGAGAAAATAGAGAGCTGAAATCAAATGGATCTCAGTCCAATCCAATCAAGCCACCATGCAACGGACTCTTCCCATGAGGTTCCATCCAGAACTATTATGAAACATTATATATATATATATATATATATATAGAGAGAGAGAGAGAGAGAGAGAGAGAGAGAGAGAGAGAGAGAG